GTGTTGGAATTTCTCACAGAGCATTGTTTATTTCAAGAAGAGAGAGTGATGATGACAGTTGCGCGGACAAGGCAGTTGTTCCGCTACTTTAGAGCGTTCTCTCGTCACCACCACCACCACCACTGTATAATCCAAGAGCGGCGTTCTGTGGGAAACATCAGAGGAATGGCCGGATGAGCGCTGAGATTTCCGTCGTCTTCCCCTTTTCTCCTGCGTTTCTCTTTACTTGTAAATATCCAGCTTTGAGTGGCAGAGAAATAAGAGTGAGGGGGCCGTATTAAGAGCGCAGGGAGGCTATTACATTGATCAAAGTTGAACACTCGACATTTCCTAAATGTGTTTCCGGAGAGCGATAGGAAGTCGATCCTTTTAGATCTTTTTGTTATCTTCCCTTAACTCTTTTTCTTCCTTGCTGTCTCTGGTGGGAAGGTCTTATAGGTCAAATGTTACTGAATTTATAGGTTTCTGTTACCGAAGCTTCAAGTACACCCATTGTAATGAAATCGTTCACAAATTAGCTCACCGATTCTGTGTACAGTGATGTAAATTTGTACTAATAAGCAGGGAGTAGCACTTTTGAGAGAATTACTGAATTATTTTTGGTTTGTGCCCGAAAATTCAATTTTCTAGGGCAATAATGCCAGGGAATACGTGCTGGAAGTAGTACTTCAATAAGTTACAGTACTCTAGTTGACTGAAAATGCGTGAAAATCCCTAGTACTCTAGTTGACCGAAAAAGCGTGAAAATTACCGAAATAGGGGATTTTTGATTTATTCCAAGGCTCTGTTGCAGCACTGTTTTTCGTTCCTTGACTGTAAGATCAAGAGCGAGTCAGGGTTTCTCGGTCTTTTTGATCACGAATTTGCTCTCCAATAGAGGACGGTCTTCTAGTGAAAATCGGTTATTGCCCTGTAGGCAGCGTTCATACTTCGCGACAGCAGCGGCGATCGCGGCGATCGCGGCGACCTCGGCGATCGCCGCGATCGCCGCTGCTGTCGCGAAGTATGAACGCTGCCATAAAGAGAACCCCGATAGAATCGACCAGGAATGAGGGAACAAACGCAATTGTTCTGGACTTGTTCAGGTCCTGACAAAGGCGAGAAAACCGAAATGTTGGCCCACAAATCATAAATTATAAGAGCCCCGATAGCTGGGTAAAGAAAATATCAAAGAGGATAAAGTGTTAGGAAATCGCCGATTAAAACATTTGTGGAGCTGGTGAGGGGGGGGGGCTTTTTCGCTCAAATAGAATCCAGTTTACGGCACTCTTTGATTACTGGAACTCAGATCAATAGGGCAGGGTACATCATCGTTGTGCGAAACACATGGGGGTCGTACTTGGCCGCGGGGAGAAGGGGTCGTACATAGTTGGTCGTTATTGGGAGAGCGGGGGAGGGGGTCTTATGTGCCTTTGAGAGAGTTTTGCCCCGTTGGGAAAAACTTTTTTCCGGTTGTTGAATTTTGAATTGGTTGGTGGAGCCGCTAAAGTCCTATATAACTACTATTTCCGATAGTTGAAAGTAGTAGGTGATTTCTGACGACCCTCCCCCGGCTAGACCGAAAATCTTTCGGAAGAAAGTAGCAACTTTTCGGGAAGTTTCGGAAGAAACTGGTAGAGGCTGGGAACATGCAGGAAAAAGGTGTAGATGTTGGGTAAGGGGGAGTCGTGCCGAGAGGAGATCTCACCGAGAAGGGGGTCGTACCGAAAACCTCTTCCAGAGGGATTGCACTGACGCCACCATTTCACAAATCACAATGCTGTACCCTGAGCCCAGGTCGCAAGGTGTCCTCTCGAGCAGATGACGATTTATAAAAAAATTTTAACAGCGCTGGAAGACCTTTTAACTGAGAGAGCGTCAAACCAGGGTACTTAACCTTTCACTACCTATTGGGTCATTCAATCAGCAGTACGGCACTAAGAGGGTGGGGCTGTATTTCAAGGGAATAGAGGGAGAGTCACTACAAAACATAGTAACTTGAAATTTAGTACTGATTGTTGGTGGTTTGTTTAACTTGTTTAACTTGGTTTTCTGACCAGACGCTATGGAGATCTGCTTACTTATCTCTAACATGGCGCGCTTTCCTAGGCAATAAACGAATTAATGAAATGAGTAGGTGAATAAACTTCTACCCTTTTGTTTCCAATGTATTGCAAACGTGCTTTCCAGAGTTCTGAATCACATGGCACATGCCATGATATTTTATTTATCTCTTTATTTATTTACTTGTTTTCGAATGAAGCGCAGGATGAGCGCAGTAGTCACCTGCACTCGAGTGCCTCTCACCTGTCCCTACGGCATTTTACCACCCATCTGCTCAGTGCTGTTGCTGCTGCTGTTGCTGCTGTCGCCGTAGGGCGCTGCGATGGCCTGGTGGTCTGCTAGACGCGGCTGGCCCGCATTTGGCACGACATATGATCTAGCAGCTGATTTTCATTGGAAAGCATCGGGCGCCCGCCTGCGGTGTCTAAGCGCCAAAAAACTGCGCCACCAACGCCATCGGGCACATGTTCGTTTCGGCCTTATGTTGAAAAGCACGGGCAATCAGCTATGCATTGTTGTTTTCTTGCACTTGTGTAGCTAACTGTTCTTTCCTACTCCTCTTTTTCCCCTTAGTCAGAGATTATCTTAACAATTTTTCTCGGTGGAATCACCTAATTTCGAGAAAAGTTACTGGTTTTCCATTGTTTCTGGGTAAAAATAAAGTACACCGAGAAATCTTTTCTTACCTTTTCTACTCTCTTCGAGAGTTTAAGTTTGTTCCGCTCAGAAGGGCCCATTTCAGGACCTAGCACAAGATGATTTTTCTGAAAGCTCTCCTTCCCTTTTAGTTCTTTTTTGAAAAAACGGCTGCCCCCATGGGACTTTTTTTACCCCATCTGGGTTTTCTCCCTGCCTGGATTGTGTGTCAAACCGGAATATCATTTTAAACCCCTTCTTCCTCTCAGAACCTAGATCCCCAGCAAAGCTCAATACCTGACAGCGGTAGTGTAGCCATGGCAGCGTCATGCGTTGGACCGACAGACGGACAGGGGGGCTGCTTCAAGACGGCAACTGTGCAATTCGGTTCGACTCCCGACCGACCAGATGTCGCTCCTCAGGCCACAACTGCTCTTCCACGGAGCTCATAGCATCCTACTCAATTGCTTTAAAACTAGAGACAATTGTAAACCTATTCGCATTCATGCACTTGTTCCTCGAATTATACCCGCAAATAATAAAATTCAACTTGATTTAGGGTTAAGATGGTCTTTCTGACCCCTGAGTGGCGCTTACACCGACGTTCTCCTTTAATCTTTATGTATTCGAGACTTGTTAAAGTTCTAGAGTTGAAAGAATTCCACATCCAGCAGTAGATATTTTTCACCCTATAGATTTTTTTCAAGTCTGGCGCTCATATATAGAGCGTCAGGAATTGAAGAGTGTGTAGTACACCTAACAGACATATTTTCTGTTCAACTCTTTGTTCTCGGGACCTAAAGATTGTGGTGCTGCTGGGGTTGTACCCAATCAAATCCATGTTCATGAGACCTAGTGAATGGTTCTCATGTCACTGAATCCCAATGCTCATAATAGTAATATACTGCTAATACTGCTCTTTGAGCCGTGCTCATTTCTGCCCTTTTTATAGAACGAACTTTTTGTACTTTCTGAACTGGGTGATCTGCTTGGGATTCTCACGCAAGAACTGGAGTCTGAGCAAGTTCTCTGAAACTTTTCCATGAATCTAGAAGTGTTCCAGATTGCAGCTGCTACCAGCTGCGCACCTGTGACTCGTTCACGCTGTGCCTCGTTGGCCACGCCCCGTCGACGTCTACAAGGCCCGCCCCATTCCGCCCTTCATCGTAGCGGTCATTCCGTTGGTGTGTCGTCCAGCACTGATCGTGTTCATCATCATGCAACCGAAAGTTAAACTTACCCCACGTAAGATCGGTATTCAGGGACCTTCAATCCGCAAAAGAGGTCAGTTACCATTTTATTTCTTTCATTTTTTCGTTTATTAACTTTCACTATCTTACTTTTATTTTTATTTTTCAATTTTTTTGCAAGTCCTACTGGAATTTCCTCTACGCTTTTATTTTAGAGTCCACAAAGCGACCAGAGTTTACTGAAGACGAGAAAGCTGAACTGAAACGTCTCAGCACGATGCTGCCGCCTCGAGCCGCTAAAGAGCAGGACCCCGCGCAACTCGTTCTCAATGCCGCCAACTATATCCAACAGCTGGTGGCCACCGTCCGAGCTCGTGTCCATAACGGCACTCTTCCCATCGGTACGTTCCTTCTCAACCAACTCAAATCGATTACTGTAACTCAGTCAACTGTACCGTAACCTTTCGTAGCGTCGACACCCGCAATTATATCGTTATCGTCGGCACTCGGCGACCATCGCGATTGATTGCGTGTCGAGGCCGAATAGGAGCAAAACTCTCTAAGAATAGTAGAGTAATTGGACATAGGATTTGATGGAATGTTTTTGCAGAGGCTCTCGCGGTCCTACCAGCCGGCTCTGCAGTTCCTTCGTCTCGAGTGAGCAGGAAGAAGAGACGATCCATTGAAAAGCAACGATAATCTGAGACTTTCTCCTCAGATTACTCTTCAAGCACCACTAATGCCTTCTACTTTCACAATTACTTTGTCGTTTCGTTCATACTGTCGTTTTCTTTTCTCTCGTGATCTGTGATGTCACAGCGGGTTTTCTGTGCTCTTTTACTGCTTTTCTTAACTATAAATCTATTGATAACTTATTTTCTGTTCCGCATAGAATTTTCATCATTTTTCGGACCACGAAGTAGCCAAAGGAATGTCTGAAAGCTGACGATGGGCTTTAATTCTATCCCATGCATGGCTCAAATGCTAGTCTTCAAACGCTACGACCCAAACCCCAAATGTCTAGCGGCCTTTTTTTGGTTGTAGAAACCTCCTACTCACCCACAGCTCTCACTCTCCCTGCTCTGTCAAAGTATTTGCGGGAAATTTCGCAGTTTGCAGCCTGAGTTCTCCCACCAGGTGTTCCTCATTTCTTGCCGTTACCGCAACTGTTTCGGATCGTCAGTTGGTGTCCACCCCACCACCTACATACGTACTACACCACACGAGTACGAGGATCTCAGTGATCGCTGTGGGTTAAATTCAGGGAGGGTCAACCCAAGGTCGTAGGTGAAGCGTTCGGTAGTACAGTGCAGAAACATGGTACATAATGCCAATGATGGTGTTTTGCAATGCGATCATTCTTTCTGAGGTTTAGAAATGGTCTCTTCTCTTCGATGTCTCTTCGAAAAGTCCTAAACAACCCCGTACTGAAGAAAAGCTGAGGTTCCTCGTCGTTAAGGTAATGGCGGTTCAGGGTAGCGCATTCAAGAAATATGACATTCATGCTGAGCTACGGGCAGAAGTCAAGCCCCAAACAGGACTTGAGCCCGCACCACCCACTTCTCTTGTGGAAGATGCGGGATCGAGTCCCGTCTGGGGCCTTACTCTCGTCACTTTCTGTGGCTTGTTCCACAGGATCGTGAGCTCATGTTACCAGATTGCGAGAACTTTTTGGAGATGACTTACCCATACCTAGGGTAATTATTGAGGGTGCACAAAAGTGCAAGAGACTAGGAGGATTAACGTTGGGCTTGCCGCCAAAATACTTGCATTTTTGGGAAATAAGGGAAGGGAAAAGATTCTTCGTATCTTAAACTCTTCGTATTTGCTACGGGTAGAGTGCTGCAGAACACGATGAAGTTTCGGCGCTCCTAAGACTATCAAAGATGTGCATTCGAAGGATTTCGTTCGAACTATAACTGCCGTGACGGAAATCGGTACCTTTCCCCAGGCTCAAAGGGAAGTGGTTCCGATTGGTGTGAACCAGTTTAAAATAGGTAATTCTATTCATGACGATAAATTTCTAACAATGAATCCTTTGGATGCTCCCCCCTCTCCCCCCTTCCCGTCTCCCTCCCCTGACGAAGTAACCGCTGGAGTTCCCTTAGTCAACAAGTCTTCCAATCATGCTATCAGTCAGTATGTGCAAGAAATTGCACTTTACGAGCAAACTACTGACAAGTTCCGTATAGAACACCTTATCTGAAAAGTAGGACCCGCGGTATCGAGGTTAAGGGTCAGCCAATCCCTCGGAGTTCCTCTCAATTTCCATGGGATCAGTCATCGATTAGGCCAGTCTGCCCGTTTATGGAAATTCAATGATGCGCAGGTCGTACGTCGGTGGTTGCGCAGTTGCGCAACAAACGCACCTGTGTATGGAAGCGGTTCGTGTTACTCAACTCTTATTTTATTGCTATCGACAAACTTCCTTAGGAGAGCGCCTAGGTCGCCCACACATAAGCTGCGGACTGGGTGATACAGTGGAATGGTATTGTGGGTATTTTGGGCTAGTGCGACTCGAAAATGCTTGCAGTTCTTTGAATGACTTCCATAGGGATCGTTCTTGACGGTAGTTCTCCATCAGCGAAAGCTCATGAGAGGAAGTGAGGACCTGTTTCAAGAAAGCAAAGAGTCGACAAGGGGTTTGTGGGCTGACTAGGCTGTGAAGACCTGCTATGAAAGACCTACTAGAACCCCTTCTTTCGAGTCTCTTCACTGCTGAGATGGGAGTAGTATCAACCAGAGGGGCATTCAAAGGAACCCATGTGTAAAACCGGGATGTTCGCGACGAAGAAAAAACACTTCCCTAGGATGAGCGGTAAAGGAGCTCGGGGGTGGGTGAACCTATTTTGATCAGGTACAGCCTTGTTCGCGGCGGAGGATGGAACGTTTCAGTGAGGCTGGGTTTGGCGTGCCGCCAATCCTTTCTCCACAGTTGCTGAAGCTAATAAGAGACAACCGTTGGTGGAAAAGAACTTATACGAGCAATGACGCGGTCTTGGCTCTGTCGCTTGTCGAGAAAGGAAGGAAACGGGCCCACGACGCCAAGCCACATTCCGAGCTATGACACGCAAGTTCAGCGAATAAGACGCAGCTCTATTGCCGTGGAGCTCCCACTGTACCGAGAGTCCTTTAAAGAGCCCCTTTCGAAGTCACCAGCGCTGGTATACTGTGCGCCATCGTACCGTCGTTACTCAGGTAAATATGAGATGTTGACTTTTGGCTGACTGAGCAAAAGGTTCAATGGTCTTAATTGTCAAGAGTGTGCGGGTATGTTTGGCGGTAACGGGCAGATTAAACACGGGCTGCAGCTGGCGCACATAGCTCTTATCCCTTTGATTCTAAGCACATCTGCACACATCAAGGTGCAGGCCCGTTTGTCCTGGGCGATCTCCATTGGCATCCATCTGCCATGGCGGCCGAAAACGGCCTGAAATCTCGCGAAATGAATTCTTAGGATCCAATCTATAGTTGAGGCGCCTGTTGTTGCTCGTGACCTTCCTTGTCTTTCGTCGATTTCTCACTTTTTAGTGGCAGAATCCTCGCCGCCAACTAGTTTGTCCGATTAGAAAAACATGCGCGATCGTCGTTGACGAATTACGACGACCTGGGATGACAGCGCGACAGATGGATCCTCGACTTTGCCTCCCACATAGGCTGTGGTGCCCAGAGAAGTGGAGGGTCTTCGGGGACCCACGTGGAGTAAAGCTAAGAATTACCAACCGCACAAAGACATGTGTTGTTAGTCGTCGAAGCCTGCTCGTACTCAATCTGCATCGCAGATGGTGTCGGCTTGCCATCGCCAAACCAAATGTCTGTTTGCAAAAGAAAATACCGCATGTTCGGCTTCAACTGAGCATTATTTATCACCCAGCTGCTTAGTGACTGCAATTTACCCACTTGCAACAAAACGATAGGGTGGGAATGGTGGATTCCCGCTAGGATTCCTATTTCGCATTTGTGCTTACCGTTGGAGGTAAAATGACCACTGGGCTAGTCATGAATGAGGATTTTTCTCTTTGTTGAACAGCATGACTAACTGTAAACAGCTGGGCGCCGGGAAGGACGTTTATGGTGGCAATAAGAAGTTGCAGAGCTGGACAAAAAAAAGAAAGATGAAGCCTTTGGCTCAGGTCAACCACCTCAGTGTGCGCCACGCGTTCTAATCTCATTCAAAATCACAACAGCATTTCGAATACGAAAAGGCCCTACGTGTTCAGCCGGAGTACGAGTTCACGTTTCTCTCCTACCTCATTAATTTCAGATTGTTATAGTACTTACAGTTATAATTATGGCACCACGTACAGTTAGGTCGTTTAAGAAAGGCTACAGCTGCCTCTTTATCGAAGTTGAGGATTGAGAAAGAGAAAGGATCCGAAAACACAAGATACCTGCTACCTGCTGCAGTTAAATGAATATTGAAGACGTAGCCAAAAGGCCAACGCAATGACAGTGCCGATGATTAAGGAGCACTACTTTGAATGTGCTAGGTGAATGCACAACTTAAAGGAGTTGGCGCGATGGTTTCCTACTTAGCCTTAAATGCTAGTAGGGCGCTGTATAGTGGGAAATGGCGAAAGAACGGAGTGAAACGGTCAAAATTTGTCGAAGAAAAGCTCCATTCTCAGAGTGACGTTGTAAATACGATTTCGGACGAGTTTCCCGTAGGCCATATTGCCCATAACCGCTACTCGAAGGTATCGATGCAGTATGTTGTACGGCTATATGCATGACTCAACGTGCCCGCTTCAATCCAAATCCCTTTGCTTTATAATTTGCTCAGCAAATGAATGAATACGAGCGTCAGAAACGGTCGTCCGTTTGTGGGCGGGCGGGCAAGGAAGGCGTTTGGGACGTAAAGTTGTTGCTCAGTAGGGCGTTATAGAGGTACCCTCCTTGGAAAAGGCTTCACGCAGCGCCTGTCCGAGGTCACGGAATTCTGTTAAGCCAGTTGTACAAATCCTACACCTGTATAGCGATTTATGCCAACTGCCTTTAAGGCAGAAGAAGATTGCAGTTGGCCAGAACCAATACGTGCCAGGGAATCTGTAGGAGAAGGAGGTAATCGCATAGAACCCCGGAGAATCACCAGGATAACCGCCAGAGAAGGCAGAGAAGGGGCAAAGTAAACTTACTGCCTGACTCCGTGGGGGTCCGGCGTACGCATGCTGTATCGGCAAATCGATGGCTAAGAATGGCCGCATGACGGCAATCTTATGTTTGTTCGAGTCTGACCAGTGGCACCGATGTACCCTAGTCTGAGTTTTGCCACGTTCGGAGCATCACCTATCCATAAGCTCTTGGTTAAGCCTCGCGGGCTAGTCCGAAACTGGGTGCAGCTAATATTCAACTGTCCGCACAAGATTTTACTTACCTCCATAACCCAGTTTACCACTCAGTATTCTCCGCATCTGGTCAGCAGTAGAGCATTTGCCTGTAGATTCAAGAAGAGCTTTGAATCCTCAAACAAGACAGTAGGGAGATCATTTTTCAGCGATAACTGTTGGGAGCTCCTAGGACATATCCTATTCACCATGAGATTGCAGCGTAACTTGTCGGTGTCTTCATAGATTAACCACATGCTCATTAACTTCGTACCGATCAGCGAACCCTAGCCAATAGCCATAAGCAAATAAAACACCCCTTACCGTTCTCCGGTGTGCGCAGGATAATTGCAGGTGTGACAGTTCAATTCAATT